AATGCTTAAAAGTAAGTAAACACTTCAGGTTGGTTACCCTTCAGGGTGGCCTAGTGGTTTGGGCTTGGGACTTCCATGTTGGAGGTCTCAAGTTCGAAACCCCTTGCAAGCGAAAGCAAGAGGTTTGCCTTCTAGGTTGAGATCGACGCACCGGGCTTGCCCAATGCGGGTTACCTCTCCTATGTGATTTACGAGCTATTGCATAGGAGTGAGAGTTTTACCTTGTGCGCATCTAAATGGTAGCGGTTGCGGGTTTCCTTCGTCATGAAAAAAAAAGTAAGTGAACACTTCAGATTGACTCTTATAAAGTAAATCTAAGTTATCGAGAAAAATCATCTACAAAAGTGACAAAATATTTATGCTCAATTTCAGAAACAATAGGACATGGTCCCAAACATTAGAAAAAACTACCTCAAAACCTGAGTAAACTCATTTATTAACCCTTGGACCTGGCGAAATGTGATAGTGTTTTGCAAATCGACATGACTCACATTCCAATGAAGAAATATTATGAAATTGAGGGCATAGCTTCTTCAACTAAGGTAGAGAAGGGTGTCCCAATTGACAATGTGCTCCAAATGTTGACACAACACTGGAGCATGCAATAGATTAAAATTTGAAGAGGTGACATAACACGTTTTATACAACTTAGCAAAAGCCTTACCTGTATCAGATTTCTTTAAGTAATTTATGATATTGGGATAAATTAGGAAATTGCTCTCCGAACCAAATCATGGTGTCAGATGTAACAACTTTAGAACTTTGAGCTCTCTTATCACAATCAGCCATTTTCCAAACAAATTAACAAGAGTGGGGAAACCAGCCAAATTACACTAACCAGAAATACCCCAACAGATCTTGTTGGAATGTATGTGTCCACTAGTCTAGATGGGACCAGGTCCTCAGCACAGTTACAATAACAGAAAATAAACAAAGTGCGGAAAGTAAAGATTGCACAACAACTTTACGTGGAAACCTCCTTGCTCAAGGGAGTAAAACCACGACCTGGCCTGCCAGGACTTTTCAAACTGCTTCCACTAATCTTCTCAAAGCAAAAGTAAAAGCCAGTTTACAAAATGAGATTAACCTACTAATCTCCACACTAAGTAATATATCCTATTACTTAGATGAGCCTAAGCAGATACAACACTGCCCACTAAGCTATCACCCCTAGATAACTTAGACTTTGCTAAGCGGATACAACACCGCCCACTATACTAATCCTAACCGATTAATATAGACTTTAGAGTAAGA